CTCAAGTAGACAGTACAGAGCAAAGTAGGCAAATGCTCTGGCTCTAGAGAAAGCTGGTTTCCATCTGAATGGCTACTGTTAATAACTTCACCATATGTTGTGCATCTGAGATTACTGTGTCAACATTTCTCCATCCAACCATCTGAATAGCTGAACAATGTACTAGAGGTGCACACTTTTTGGCCTGTAGAAAATAGACACATCCTAGTATTTGGAGCAAGGGTCCCCTAGTGATGTGGTGGGTTAAACCGCTGAGCTGCTGAACTTGCTACCAAAAGGTTGGCGGTTCATATCCAGGGAGTGGTGGGAGCTCCTGTTGTTAGCCCCAGCTGCTGCCAACCCAGTAGTTGACTAGAGCAATGGGTACCGCTTCTGCAGGAAAGTAACAACGGCCCATGCAGTCATGCCGGCCACATGATCTTGGAGGTGTCTATGGACAAAGCTGGCTCTTCGCCTTAGAAATGGAGATGAGCATCACCCCCCCCCCCCCCCCCCCCCAGAGTCAGACATGACTAGATAATGTCAGGGGAAACTTTTACTTTTTACTAGTATTTGGGGCTCTTCATGAGGGCCATAACCATTCTTGAAGCCACCATTTTGGATGATGAGGAGTCAACTTTTGCCTGTTTGGAAAGGGAGCCATTGCTATTTCAAGGAAAATAAGCCAGGATTTTTGACAGTTTTGGGGATGCGTCTTTGTGAGAGTCAACTGAGGCCATAGGGGTTCCACCAAACCCCCTCCCACAGTGAGACGTCCATAGGCTGAGCAATCCCTGTCCCTTCTTCAGATTATGCTTCCAGTGTCAGGAAACAGGCTGTGTTGTACAAGAGCTCATGCAGTAATAAATCTGTTGGTGTTAAAGGTGCCACAGGATTCTGTTATTTAAGGCTCACTGTTGTTTCACCTTCCAGAGACCCTTTGAAAACTGTTTTTCCCCCTCTCTCCCTCCTCTCCACCCCTTTGGTCTCCAGAAAACACTGCTGGTGCCAGCAGTAGTTGATTACACACAGAGACCTATTATTTTCTTTGCTTCCTAGTTTTCCAACCATTCACTAGAGCCACCAACCAATTAAAGGTCCTTTCAATCAATTAAGTGCCTGGCCTTTCCCTGATTAATTGAATAAATGTTAGCATGCCTGTGGCAAAAGCTCAATGGTATGCCTTTCCTTTCCGAAAGGCAAGAGGCATTTTCTCTGCTCGGTGCGACAGTTCGATACAGACCAAAAAAAGCCACAATTCACGCGTAAGAAGAATGTTTAGTCTTGGGAACATTCTCTGTTATAGAAGCACATCAAAGCTGGAACATGCTTCAAAAGCTAAACATTGGCCTTGTGGAGACCAGTTTCAAAAGAAAGGTGCTGTGGGTTTTTCAAGCAGACATTTTCCAAGAACCCCTAGATCCTGCTGCTTGAAGGAAAATCACAGGAGCTTCACCCTGAAAGGCACAATTGCTATCTTTTGAAGGAAATGTATTTTCCTCCCCGAACTGTTCTTAACCTTGTCGAAGGCACTTCCTCCAGGAGCCCTACTTCTCCCAAAAAGGCTTCAGACTTCTGACTCTCTTATATTGCTCCATTTTCTCTGTTTTGCTATTCCTTTTACTTGGAATTCCTTCTCTGGTCTTTCCCAGATAGCCTTATGTTCAGCCATGGTTGATCATGAAAGCAATGAGCCTAATGTCCCCCGAGTCCTGTATTCTTTGTTTCTTTTCTGGGGATGTTGATGAGTAATTTGGAAACTTTTACTTCTATTTCTGATGAACCACAGTTTATTGGAGTCAGAGTACATATCAAACCATGATGATTATTAACTGTGATTTGTTTGAAAGAAGGCAACTTCATGTTGAAAATACAGTGTTCCCTCACTTATCGTGGTGATTCCATTCCAGGTCCTCCCGTAATATGTGAAAATCCACAAAGTAGGGATGCCATATTAATTTTAATATTTATACATTATTTTATATTATATACTAGCCGTCCCCTGCCACGTGTTGCTGTGGCCCACATGGGGGTTCTGTGTGGGAGGTTTGGCCCAATTCTATCATTGGTGGAGGTTAGAATGCTCTTTGATTGTAGGTTAACTATAAATCCCAGCAACTACAACTCCCAAATATCAAGATTCTATTTTCCCCAAACTCCACCAGTGTTCACATTTGGGCATATGGAGTATTCTTGTAGAGTTTGGTCCAGATCCATCATTGTTGGAGTCAACAGTGATCTCTGGATGTTGGTGAACTACAACTCCAAAACCAAAGGACACTGCCCACCAAACCCTTCCAGTATTTTCTGTTGGTCATGGGAGAACTGTGTGCCAAGTTTGGTTCAATTCCATCGTTGGTGGGGTTCAGAATGCTCTTTGATTGTAGGTGACCTATAAATCCCAGCAACTACAACTCCCAAATGACAAAATCAATTTTTTTGAGTGAAGGACATACATTGGGTTGTTAGGTGTCTTGTGTCCAAATTTGGTGTCAATTCGTCCAGTAGTTTTTGAGTTCTGTTAATCCCACAAATGAACATTACATTTTTAATTATATAGATATATTATTTTCTTACCCGTGCTTCCTTACCTGCCTCCTGGCCCATCCCAAGGCCTCCTGCCTGCCTCCCTGGGCTCTGGAGCCACGCAGGCAGCAGCAGGCCAGGGAGGCAGGCCTTCCCTGCCGTGCCTCAGGCCGCCACACTTTGGGGGTCCCTGGCCTCCCTGGCCTCCACTAGACATAAATATTAAATATTTTAATTAATATTTTCAAAAACCCGCTAAACAGCGAGACCGCTAAAAGCGAACCGCGAAGTAGCGAGGGAACACTGTAGCAACCTCCCAAGCCTCCACTGTTTGTAAATGTGTATCATTGTTAACCTATATTGTATGTACATTTTGGTTTGCCAGTTTGACTTTACCTCTTTGGTGTGGGAGGGGTTTCAGACACAGGATTCCATTTTGCATTCAGTTTGCATCAGACCTCAGTGGTGGTGGATGCATGTTGCTGTTTGGAGTTTAGTAGAGAAGTACGACTTATGGACTTCAGTGTGTACAGCTAAACTTAAAGACTATGGACAACTGATTAAGTGTCATACCCTGTGTACTCAACACAGAGAAGAAACTACATCTTATCCAGCTAAACTATGTATGGTGAATTAATACAAGTTGTTTATGAGTAAACATTTTTCAAAGAAGACTTTGTTCTTATCTTTGAGTGCATATTTTAACTAAGAGATTTTAAAGAAGTGTATATCTTTTGGGCAACTGCAAATTTCATCTTCAAAGAAACAACCATCCTCTGATAACCAAATATATATTTTTGTAGTGGCATGTCTTTAGCCTTGGCAGTTTAAAGACATGAGTTACCTGTGTGCCATTACATGAATGCTAGTGAATATCACTTGTTCATAGAGTTGACTTCTAACAAGGTCATGCTTTTCTTGACTAGTGGTTTTCAAAAGGTGGTCTCCACATGTCCATGGAGATTCACATTTGCCAAACAGATGTGACATCGTTTTTACCTTTTCAATAAGGTTATGATGTAGTTATTTCCAACAGCTTATGGAATTTCCAATACTTAATCCAGCTGCTAGTACGTTGACTTGTTTCAAACTTGTGTTTATATGTTGGGTTCTTTAAATTTTGTTAATATGGATGTATTATTGTTGTATTCAGGCACTGAACATTTGCCTTTTATGTTTGGAATCTGCCCTGAGTCCCTTTGAGGAGATAGAGCAGATTATTATTATTATTATTATTATTATTATTACTACTGTAGTTCAGATTAATCCCAATGTAGAGTTCAGATGCAGTGGTGAACTGTGGCAAATTGAAATATAAACAGAAAATGTCCTGTCTCCTCCTTACAATCATAGCAGATAAGGGGACACACACAAGCCAAGAAGAAAAATCAGTAAACTATAGTGTATCATAACATGGACTCCCTCTCCCCTTTTCTCTCTTTTCCCACCACTTTTAGAATCAATTTTGAAGCCCGTTTCTATGAATTGTTTGACACAGCATCCTCTATGAAACAATGTCAACTGAAACAAAGCCTGTGTAGGCACAACTCACTTGCCCATTCATCCTCCCAGTTCTGCCTACTCCTTTCCCTTCAATAAATTCCCCGGGGAAGAAATTACTTTGTTGACAACCATATATGTTTGTGACACTGTACAACTAGGAAATAACAGCGTGGTGCATATTGAGGGCTGACAAGGTGGCCTGCACAAAAGCAGAAACTTTTCATTTCCCTGAGCTCAAAATATTTTCCATATCGAAGGACCCACTCATACATGAAATTAAATGTTCAAACACATATGAATCATTATATCAGGGGTGTGGGACCTGTGGCCTTTCACATGTTGTTGCATCTCCAAACCCTGTTCATTCCATCCCATAGCTATCCCATGTGCCTATTTTCTCTATTTGTAAGATTCATGTTATGACAACAATGACTGATAGCTTTTAGTCTGAATAATATCAAAGGAACTATCTAAGGTGCTGAACAGTATTGGTGCCTTTAAAGTTCAGCACCTTTAAAGTTCAGGCTAAAAGTACACATTCAGAGCAGCCCTGGCATAGGAGCAAACAGTTATCAGTGAGCTATGTCCTCATGCAAGAATTTTCACAAATAGTGGGCCCTTTGATATCTGTTGGATTTTGGTTCCAAGATTTACCATGGATGCCAAAGTCCTATTATATACAATTATGTAATAAAAATAGTGTCCCTTACAAATGCTAGAGAAAGCCTAAGGATCTGTGATATAGTGGGAGGCTACAGCAGGATATGCCTACACGTCAGCATAGAGCTCAATGTGTGGTAAAATCAAAGTTAGCTTTTCAAAGTATATTTTTACCAATATTTTTGAGCTTTGGTTGGTTGAACCCAAGGATACTGGGAGCCAACTGTAACAATAACAACAATAATAAGCAGGAGGCTCTTAGATTCCTTCTACCATCCTGTTAAGAAAAATCTATGCTCTATGAGGTCACGATCTCTTCTCATTTCCTGCAGGTTATCTGTGGTCAAGATGAAGCTACAGAAGAAGATGAAGAAGACAATGGAAACCCACCTAAAGAACAAAGAACCCAGGTACAAAAGAAGAAGAACCAACTGTCCCTGAAGTCCTCCTCAATAGCTTCATCCAACTTACAGAACACAAGTCTATTAGAGTTGGCCTCTAACAACAACCAAGAATTTTGGGATGTCTTAGAGAATTTGTCTAAGCAAGGCCAAGGCCCACAGCCCTTGCGTGGCCGAAGGGACTCTGCTGCCAGCCCCAGTAGGCTTAAGAAAATATTTGGCTGGGGTGACTTCTACTCCAACATCAAGACAGTCAAGCTGAATCTCTTGATTACAGGCAAAGTGGTCGACCATGGAAATGGCACAGTCAATGTCTTCTTCCGGCACAACTCCACTGGACATGGCAACATATCTGTCAGCCTAGTGCCCCCCAACAAAGCTGTAGAGTTTGACCTTGAGCAGCAAATCTTCATTGAGGCAAAAGAGTCCAAGATCTTCAATTGCAGGGTGGAATATGAGAAGGTTGACAAGGCAAAGAAGACTACCTTGTGTACGTATGACCCATCCAAGACCTGCTACCTGAACCACACACAGAGTCAAGTTTCCTGGGTTTGTTCCAAGCCCTTCAAGGTCATCTGTATCTACATCACCTTTTACAGCATAGACTACAGACTTGTGCAGAAAGTGTGTCCTGACTACAACTACCACAACAATGTTCCTTATTACCCTTCTGGGTGACAACGTACCTCTTCTGAGCTCAGAAGCAGCCCAAGTCCCAAACACAACTTGATTTGGGGTTTGGGAGCAGGAAATTGAGGCCAAGGGCTGGGAGAAGGATGAGTCATGGCTCTCCAGTGCTAGAGAAATCACCAAACAAGCCTGGCCTCTGCTAAAGGAGGGGAGTTTCAGAGAACACCGACCAACAGACCGTGCTTGCAAGAAGCTCTGCAGTCTATAAAAAGAATACCATCATTAACCAAATCCACAACTTCCACACTTTCATGTGTACACTCAGACCAAATCATTAATATGCGCAAGGCAGACATTCGAAATTGCACTTTCTCTCCAGTGTTGCTCCCTAACACAGGGTTCAATCCGTTGGGGAATTCTGCTATGAAAGCTTCCACGTGGCTTGTGCAGAAGGGCTGAAGCAGTAGTGAAGGCAAAAGTGAACAACCCTGGCTCACCAAATGTTGTTAGATTGCAGCTCCCAGCATTCCTCAAGTTTGATCTATCTGGGACTGCTGGGGCTTGCAGTTCTTTGAGGGGGAGGTATAAAAATTCTTGCTGCTACTCTATGACAGAAGGCAGATAACTGACTCTCCAGATATTTCTGGATTGTAATTCTCAGAATGCCTTATTATTAGAAAGGGATGATGGGAGTTGTAGGACAAAGACATTTGGAGCGCCACAGTTGAACTATCCTTGCCCAGGGTCAGATTCATCTATAGTTCATTAAACCACCCTTAATGACATCTGAAATCTGCTAGCTATTGTCTGCCCTGCTTCATCTCCCCTCCCTTCCAACTGAGTCTCTAACTGAAAATAGAAAAAACAGATTGAGCCAGTGCAAGCTTTCAGTTTCCAAATGGCTATCCCTGGGCCATAAATTGTGAATGATCACCTACCTGCCAGAAAGGTGAAAACCTAAGTACTTGGCTATAATTGTTCCTTCTTTCCAGTCCAATTGCCCTATTAAGCCCTTTTTTCTTGCAACTTTTTTGGCCTAGCCCCAGTTATGGCTAGGGCCCTTTCCACCTCCAAGTGAGGTGAGGTTGACTTGAATAGAATACTGATATCATTGATCTGTTGTTGCTACAACAAATATATCAAGGACTCAGAGCACAGCATACATAGAGAATGTAACCCAAATAAAACAATTGCACTGTCACTTGTTTGAAAGCAAGGGCGGGCAATGTGCAGCTGGCTCCCAAAGGATATATTGATGGCCCTCAACCCCTCTAGGCTCACCCGATTACCCTCCCCAAAATGATGAACTGCCTCTTCTGGGAGCCTCCAGAATCAGGAATATATGTTCCAAATAGGGTTCAGGGTTCCCTTGAACAGTGCGACATAACATATACTTGTTTTTAAAACCCAGAATTGACTTCCAACTGCATCTCCTTTAGGGGAGAAGTTGGCATTTTGAGAGCAGTCTATGAGGTTCTGGGAAGGTTGCAAGGGCTTAAAATTGGCTGTTGGAGCTGCCAATGATGCTTGCCCTGGTTTAAAGGCATCGTATCCAAAAGGAATGTTAAAAATAGGTTGAACTTGCATACGTTAAGTGGGATGAAGAGTTTATGGTGGAGACATGGTAGCTGGGCTGAGGCAAGGAAACATGCTAGCATTCTGAGCTTGGAAATTCATTATGCTAGCCCAGGCATAGGCAAACTTTGGCCCTCCAGGAGTTTTGGACTTCAACTCCCACCATTCCTAACAGCCTTTAGCCCCAACCTGGGAAAACATATTCCTTGCCCTGGCTTAATATATTGAAGGGAAGGCTTGTTGAAGTTTGGACCTGGGTTTGCTAAAACAGATGGGAGGCACTACAGCAGGCATGGGCAAACTTTTTTGCCTTAGGGCCGCATTATGGGCCCGACTGAGAGGGTTGGGCCAGGAGAGAGGGCAGACTGGCACATGCTGGGTGGGACAGGCCTGGGAGAGATGGGGGCAGGAACTGTGAGAGGGTGTGGCTGGGAGGGGGTAGGTCAGGGCCCAGGTCATCCTCCAGTTGTCCTCCTGGAATAAGGATGAGGCTGCTTGGCCCATGCTTATCCTGGGAGCAAAAACAAGACATGTTGCGACTTCCCCGATCTTCCTCTCCCAATCTTTGGGCTGTCTTCTCAGTATTATGCTGGGAGGAGTGTGAGACAGGCAACGGCTGAGAGTGCTCCAGAGAGCTCTCAGCCTCTGCGTGTCTTCCTCAGGCTGTCCTCTCAGCATAAGTACAGGACCACTCTCACTGTCCTTATAGAGGGAGAAGGACAAAACATGCGGTGACTGAGAGTGCTCCACAGGGCTCCCAGCTGCTATGTGTCTTCCTCCCCCATTCTTTCTACATAAGGATGTGGTGGGCCACCATGTCCTTATGCCATAGGACAGGGAAAATGAGAAGGGCCTGAGGTGGGTACCTAGGGGACCGCACCCGGGCCCCGGGCCTTAGTTCACCCATGCCTGCACTACAGCCTCCTAATCTGGCTGGAACAGTCCCAATTGAACCTCCATCATCTCACTTTTTCAGATACAGACAGTCCCTGAGTTACAAACTTCTGACTTATAAATGACTCATAGTTAAGAACAGGGGTGAGACAACAGGAAGTGAGAGAAATCTACCCTTAGGAAAGGAAAACCACTCCTGAAAGAGTTACAATGGGAAACAAGTGTCTCCACTGAAATGTTATCACCAATTCTTGTTTCCATAGGTAATGGTAAAGATTTTCCCTTGACATTAAGTCTAGTCATGTCCAACTCTGAGGGAGCCGGTGTTGTCCATAGACACCTCCAAGGTCATGTACCCAGCATGACTGCAGGGAGTGCTGTTACCTTCCCGCTGAAGTAGTACTTATTGATCTACCCATATGTGCATGTTTTTGAACTGCTAGGTTGGCAGAAGCTGGGCCTAACAGCGGGAGCTCACCCCGCTGCCCGGATTCCAACTGCCAACCTTTCGGTCAACAAGTTGAGCAGCTCAGTGGTTTAACCCGCAGCACCATTGGTTTCCATAACCAAAATTTTCAAAATCACAGGACAGAAAGTGAGGCGAAATCTGAACAGGGGCACAGACAGCAAAATGCATGCATCCAAAGCTGATATGTATATGGCTGAAGTTACACTTAAAAATGTACCTGTTCCAACTTACAAACAAATTCAACTTAAGAACAAACCAGCAGAACTTACCTTGTTCGTAACTTGGGACTTCCTGTACTTTAAAAAAGTCTCAGTCTCTTTCTCTTCCTTCCACATACTCCCTTTGTCCTTGACTTACTTCAATTGCTGGCAAGCTCAAAGTTTGCACTCAGTAAATTCAGCAAGGAGAATTGGGAGCTGTCCTTTCCAGTAGGCTTAGACAAAAGCAAACTGCTGCAGCCTCTCCTAGCCTGAATGTTCTTCCTCATTAACAACCTTTACCATCTGGACCACATCCGTCCTGGTTCTCATCTTTGAAATGTTGAAGGGGTATGCCACACATGTCACCGCACATACTATCTAGGGTCTCTTGCACATTACACAGTTATAGCACTTTGATACTACTTTACTTGCTATGGCTTAGTCCTATGGAATCCTGGGATATGCATTTTTGTGAAGGGTTTAGCAGAGAGCTCTCACTTTCTCTCCACCTTGCAAATCCTGAGATTCTCAGAGTAGTGATGAGCCCCAAAGGCCCACTTTCCCCTAGATATATTCTACTTAAAAATAACTATATATATATATATGCATGCACAACCTTAACTCCTGGGCAGTCTACCAGTGCATATGTGTACACTCATGTACTACCAAGAAACACACCTTTAGGAGTTAGAATAATGCATCTAGATTTCCATCATGTTGCCTCCCAGTTTTTACAGAATGAGGATTTTTTTTACAAATACTAGGAATATGAAGCCAGAAGGCAAATTCATGGGAGACATGGCTATCTATCTGTTAATCTTGATGGCTATACAATATTTTCAGTTTCAGAGAAAGTGGGTTGGGAAACACAAGCAAGTGGTACAAATGCTGCTGGTGGCCAATTCAGGACACCTGCTTAGCTACCATGGAGACAGAATGCTGTACTAGACAGTGCATTTGTCTCCTTGTATTCTTATCAATAGAGAATAAAGCCCAACTCTTCTTAAATTCTTCTGAATTTGGGGAGGATAAACCTAGGTGGACTTCTACTTTGGATGGGGCTGAGTTCTCAGCCTTCAAATGTGTGTGTTTCTACCTAAACAGTCTGGTATGAATTTTTGAAAATATTAAAACTCACACTGGAGAAAACAACTCAAGTTGGTACAGATTTCAAGTTGCTATGGATTCAACATATTGTCTAAGGCAGTGGTTCTCAACCTGTGGGTCCCCAGATGTTTTGGCCTTCAACTCCCAGAAAACCTAACAGCTGGTAAACAGGCTGGGATTTCTGGGAGTTATAGGCCAAAACACCTGAGAACCACTGGTCTAAGGCTTTCATGGCCAGAATCACTGGGTTGTTGTAGATTTTTCAGGCCATATTGCCATGTTCTAGAAGCATTCTCTCCTGACGAGACAACAGACTCCACAACCTCTGAGGATGACTGTCACAAATGCAGGCGAAACGTCAGGAGAGAATGCTTCTAGAACATGGCCATACAGCCCGAAAAATCTACCAACAACCCACTTGCTATGGATTGCTTTCCAACTTTCATTGATGATAGATTATGGACTAGCTCTACTGTCACATAAGTTAGTGCAAATATTATATGTGTGTTTTCGCATTGCTGGGTGTGGTTGTCATCCATGAAACCATGGATGCTTTGAATCCCAATTTTGGGAGGAAGGTGGGATACAAATAAAACAACAATAACAATAATGCATGGAAACCTATTTCCAGATATATCTTGGATCAGGACATGAAGGTACTGTTCCGTTATCTGGGAAGAGGCCACAAGGGGGCGCTATACAGAGGACAGTCCATTTTACGGGGGGGAGGGGGGGTTGAAGGAGCTAAACGATTTCTCCCTATTTTCTTATTATTCCCCCCACCTCACCCAATTCGCCATCGCTGAAACAACCATATGGGAAAGGGGGCGGGGGAATAACCTGAGAAAATTGTTTTCCTCCTTCAACTCCCCCCTGCCCAGAAAATGGATTATCCTACTCTTTCTAGGCCCCCTTTTGTGGCTTGCCCGGATAATGAAACAGTACTGAGCATTAGACATAAAGCTGGATTTAAACCTAGATTCCATCACTAAATCTGAATGGCTTGCCGTGAGCAAATCATTCTTGGTGTTCCCTAGAAAAAAGCTTATTAAAAATTGCTTTTATGGACTACAACACTCAGAACCTCAAAGCCATGCTGGGAACAATTTTGCTAGAGCAGTGGTTTTGTCCTTCAATTCCCAGAAATCCTAACAACTGCTAAACTGGCTGGAACTTATGGGAGTTGTAGGCCAAAACACCTGGAGACCCACAGATTGAGGATCACTGTGCTAGAGGTTCTAGGTGATGTATTACACCCTCCAAAACTTATCCAAACTCTCTCCCTAGCTGTGAAATGGAAACAGGATCTACCTCAGAGGATTGTTGTGAAGATGATAGTGGCGATGACGACGATGTCATGAAGATTGTAAAGCATTTGGTGCTATTAAGAAATGTTTCAAAGAGGTTCTCTCCCTCCCTTTCCGATTTTCTCTGCTTCTCTCCCCATCTCTCTCTCTCCCAACAAACCTTTCCCCAAGGAATTTCCCACTCCCTCAAACCAAATGTTTCTGTTGTCTATAGATTGCTCCATATCTTCGCTCTTTCTTTTTGATTAAAGGATGGGCATATCTCCTTGATATCATGTATTTATTTTAAATACTGTCCTTAAAATGAAGAATAAACTTTCCCTCTATATTATGGAGGGGCCAAATGATGAGTGGATTCTAGATTTTGTTATTCTAGTCGAGAAGACCTCTCTTGCTCTCCACTAATAACGTGTGAAGGTGTGAGGGTATCAAATTTACATTGAAGACAGTTCTGAGATGGGTGAACAATCCCAGATTGGCTCCAGATGTAGCGGTTCTAGACTTGCTAATTAGAAGACATCGCACAACTAATCTTCTTAACAGATTTTCTCTGGTAAGTAAGAAAGATGGGGAAATAATGCGAAATGTGAGACTAATAACAGAAAATTGCATTTGTCTGGAGTCCCCGTATAATTCTGAGAATTCGATGTGGCGAATGGATTTGAGAACAAATCAAGTCCAAACTCTTTCTGGAAACCAAAATGACCAAACTGAGGCTACCATGCTCTGAAAACAGCATGGGATAAACAGAATTCATTTGATAATACTTGATAAAATTGAAGGCAATAGAAAGACTGGAAAGCTATATAAATAAAAATGTAATGTTAGTTTGTGGGATTAACATAGCCCAAAAATCACTGGACAAATTGACACCAAATTTGAACACAATACACCTATCAGGCCAACAAGTCATAAAAACACTGGAAAACACAGCAGAAGAGACTTAGAAAGACAAAAAATACATTACAACGCATGCACAAAACCATACACACACACAAACACACATATATACACACATACACAAATATATACACAAACATATACACATATATACTCGGACTGGGCCACAGCAATGCGTGGCAGGGGACGGCTAGTTATAGATAGATTGACTCTGTCATGAAAGCCACAGCTTGGAGTTTTCAATGCTTGAGCAGGCCTATAAGCCAGAGTGTCCCATTCATAGGAGCACTACAAGACAAAGTCAACTTGATGGCAATTGACCACAAAAAATGCATAATAAAAGTATGGTAGAAATCGGGCATTTTTGTAGCCTCACCCGAAAGCTCAAAGGTTGAAATACCTCTTTTACAAATAAAATATTTGGGTCCATAATAACAAATATGATATCTAGAAGTTATGGAGGGCATTTCTGCCATGCTTGGAGTCCCCCAAACCAAACATCTGCAAATAAAATATAGAATATATAGCTTCAAAATGTTCCAATTTCCTTCTGGGAGCCCAGTAATGTACATAACAACACAAGGAAGGAGCCCTTAGTTTGGAAAAATGAGTGGTAAATGCTTTTGAAAACCCATAGCATCTCTTCCAAGTTTTAAAGTTGGCCTAAATCATTGTTTCTCAACCTGAGGGTTGGGACCTCTGGGGGGGGGGGGGGGGTCGCAAGAGGGTTTCAGAGGGGTCGCCAAGGACCATCAGATACATATATTTCTTAGGAACCCCTTTGGCAGATTTCTCAGCTTGTCTTTCCCTTCCTTTTTGAAAACAGATGGTGAATCCTCCTCCTCCATTGTGGTTGGCTGGCCTCTCAGCCAAAGGAAGGGCTGTCTTTGAGACTCCAACAGGAATGGGAGAGCAGGCATGCTCGGAGCATGGCAGCGTGGTGTGCATGTGCGGGTAAGGGAGAGTGTGCAAGGGTGGAGGGAGGCTCATGCCAGTGAGTCTCTTCAAAGCATGGGGGTTCTGTGTGAGAAGTTTGGCCCAATTCTATCGTTGGTGGGGTTCAGAATGCTTTTTGATTGTAGGTGAACTATAAACCCCAGCAACTACAACTCCCAAATGTCAAGGTCTATTTCCCCCAAACTCTACCAGTGTTCACATTTGGGCATATTGAGTATTCTTGCCAAGTTTGGTTCAGATTCATCATTGTCTGAGTTTATAGTGCTTTCTGGATGTAGGTGAAGTACAACTCCAAAACTCAAGGTCAATGCCCACCAAACCCTGCCAGTATGTTCTGTTGGTCATGGGAGTCCTGTGTGGTAAATCTGGTTCAATTCCATTATTAGTGAAATTCAGAATTCTCTTTGATTGTAGGTTAACTCCCAGCAACTACAGCTCCCAATTGACAAAATCAATTCCTCACCCCCAACCCCACCAGTATTCAAATTTGGGTATATTGGGTATTTGTGCCAAATTTGGTCCAGTGAATAAAAATACATCTGGCATATCAGATATTTACATTACGATTCATAACAGTAGCAAAATTGCAGTTATGAAGTAGCAACGAAAATAATTTTATGGTTGGGGGTCACCACAACGTGAGGAACTGTATTAAGGGGTTGCGGCATTAGGAAGGTTGAGAACCACTGGCCTAAATAATGATGGACAGATGATCCCTCACACCTCTCTTTGGAGTGTTTAACTACAATTTGATATCTAGATTAGTTTTATCTGAAGTCGCTCAAAACGAAGGGGCAAAATGTTCTGCAAAGTTTAGTGAAACAAAATGCATTGTACCAAATGAGAGGTGTATTAGGGGTACAGGCTGATTGCTCATTAGAAAAGTAGACCAGCTTCCTAAAAGAGAGGTTGGAGGCGAAGGACAGGATGAAAGAGACAGAGAAGTTGGGCTCTAAAATGGAAAATGTCAGGGCTTGATTGCGGCTTGGTGGCTCTGATCACAGCAGAAGTAGTGGGTGAATTTGCTTCCATCTACAGAATACTATGCTTGCCAGTTTGCTAATAAATAGGTTCCTTCGTCTCATTGGGAACGGAAAGGAGAGGGAGAAAAAAACCTCCTCTAATTTAAATTTAATGAGCCTCAAATGCTTGAGCCTCCAATAACCTTTGCTCCAGCACATCCAGAAAACCAGCCACTTAGAACAAACACCAAGTCAAATCTACCACATTTAGCTGTTAACAGAGAAAGGGAACTAACACAGCTGCCCACGCTGCAACCATCTGCCTGGCTGAACTCCACATGAAGGACATGGAGGAGGAAAAGATATCAGAAGCAACCGAGACACCAAAGAGAAAGATGTTTGTGAACAGCAGCTTTCTTGTGTGTTGTGTACAGAAAAATAGAAATAATTGTATTGAATGTAAAATTAGGGTTTGCTTCTCAAAGATCCCCCTTTTCCTCCTATATCCATCACAAAAGCCAGTATGTTGTAGTAGTTTGACTATTGGATATGACTCTGGAGACTAGGGTGCAATTCCCGTTCAGCCATGGAAATGCACAGCATGACCTTGGGCAAATCACACTTTCTTGGCCTCAGAAGAAGACAATGACCAACCTCTTTTGAACAAATATGCCAAGAAAACTCAATGTTAGGGTCACCATAGGTCCAAATTGGCTTGAAGGCACACAGCAGCAACAACAACAAGCACATATTACAATGACCTGCCTTCCTACCTTAAAAACAATTTCATTGTCTCTGGCTGCATGCTTGTTTGCCTGGAGGCATCCTTAGTTGTGAGGAGTAAATCTTGTCCTCTCTACCCCAAGGCAATAACTATTCAATATTTTATAGGTGAAAAGAGGAATACAAAACACATTGATTCTCAAAGTAAGGAACCATGGCTATGGCCTACTGAGTGAGAACTAAAAAGCAAGAAATACAGTAGTTACCACTACCCACTATGTGGTCATCAGGGCAGTAGGGCAGGAGATTCTCCTTGGCTGGAGATCCAACTCCAGTTCAGTGGTAGCTAAACACCTGCATGAATCACTAGTCTTCTGTAGACTGGAGTCCTGTCCTTTATTATACTTCTCCAAAGAGATAATGCAAAGTCACCTGTAATAATAATAATAATAATAATAATAATAATAATAATTATTATTATTATTATTATTATTATTATTATTATTATCATTTATATATACCGCTCTATCTCCCCTAGGGACTCAGGACAGTTTCCACAGCAAACATAAAACATACAGAATAGTCATTAAAATATAAACAACTTATAAACACAATCTCATGCATTG